AAGAGGTTTGTGGTTAAAAGAATACTTGAAAGTTAAGCTTGAAGAGACTTGTTGTTGAAATAATATTTGGGTAATGACTTGAAGAGGTCAATCAAGATCACTAGAGCCATAAGGTGATTTGGAAAAAAATACTTAACTTTTAGAAAGTTAGTGAAATTCGATCTAGTTGGATTAAGAATTAAACGTAGTCTCTGTACTTAAAATGAATCGATATAAAAATACTTAGTGGTCTATCTATTATTTTGATTACTCTTTTAACACTTTGTCTATTGCATATATTATTTTACTCATTTGCAAAAAGTACGAGTTTTTGATATTCGCTATTCAACTTCCCTTATAGTAACTATTTTTTCTCCAAAGTTACCTTCATCATTATTACAACTTTTAACACCATAATTATTGTTATTATCATATATTATATTATTATTATCATTAACACCACCATTACTATTAATGATACTATTATTTTTGTCACAACCTATCATCTCTACTATTGCAATCACCACATATACAACAGTTGCAATGGTAGGACTAGATTTGGTAGGAGCGACAACCACTACCACAACTAATATTCTCATTGATATATAAAAGTGATATTTTTTATATGGTAAGGAGATTATCTTATCACAAACAAATATTAAATGTTCCTATTAAAAGCTTGCATTGAATTTTTAATATAAATGTGTAGTTTACATTGCCTCCATAAATTAAAAGGTTGTGTATGTATTTATATAATTACATGCGTTATCTTATATTTAATGTCACAATTTTTATTAAAATAAAAAATATTTTGGTATAACTATTTTTTTACAAATTAAATAATTTTAACATTAATAACGAAGATAATAAATATAAATGTGTAAATAGTAATAAACATTTCGATAAAGATTTTTTTTCCAAATTTTTAGTGTATATGTATGTTTTACACTACCTTCCTACATTATTAAAGAGTCCGGTAGATATATGTATAATTCTACATGTTATCTTATACCCTAGTGGATGCATTTTTTTTATCCATTTGCAACGCTCTACAATATCACGAGATTAAAAATAAGAAAAATTCAATCAAACACAATTCATATTTTAATAATTTCAATTTATTTAAAAATTTAAAATTTCTTATCTAAACACACTTTTAGAAATTTTTATGTTATTTACAAAACTAGTATGTTAAATATATCTTAAAAAAGAGAAAAGACAAAAAAACAAAAAACAAAAAAAATTGAGATATCTTAAAATTAACAATTTTTTGTCATTATATTGTTCAACAAAAGCTATGTCCGTTGCAAATATAACAAACTCCTTATGTGCATTGCTTGGTCGTCATCAAATGGAAGTGATATTTCATATTTATTTGGCAAGAAATTAAAAGATTATCAAATAAAAAGTTATATTAATATTATTTTTTTCTTTATCTAAACACAACTTAAGATAATTTTTTTAGATTATTTATAAAATTAGTATATGAACTATATATTAAAAAAAAACAACAAAAAAAAGTCTTAAAATTAAGAGTATTTTGTCATTTTATTGCTCAGTAAAAAATTATGTTAGTTGCAAATACAACAGGCTCTCCTTATGTGCAATTATTGTTCTTCATCAAATGAAAGTGATTATATATTCATTTGGCGAGAAATTGACAGATTATATATCAAATAAAAAAAAGGTTTTATTATTTAAGACAATAACATAGCTTCGGAGCTAATCATTTCTTAAGGTTTATAACTAATAAGAATTAGATATATATGCGGATTAATAGCAGTGATTCGATAAGCTAGCCAATCTCAAAAGTTGCTCATAATGGGATGATAGGATTACCCTCGCAAGTGTTATTTTGATTATATTTCTAAGGGAGAAGTCAGAGATATCATGTAATATTCTATATATTTATTACACCTATTTTTCATTAAATGTTTTTTTATTATTATAATTTTTACTAATTAATTCAATTCACTTATTTAATGACAGTTAATTATGCAAGTAAGTATGTCAAATTCTATGTTTATGGGGCAAAATAGTTAAAAAGTTTGTGCCTCACTAACTCCTCTTTCATTTAGCTAAAACTTTAAATGATTTGTAAGTTCCCAATAAAAAAGTTTTATAGACAATTTTCATGTACAACACAAATAGAAATGTAAATAAATAATTAAGATATATTTTTTTAAATTTTATACTTAATTAGTTTTTTTTCTTTGTTATGTATAAATTATTAGCAATTTATGTCAATTTTAAAAAATTGGAGGAAGGATATTTATGTTTACTAATGTTCTATACTTTTATCACATTTTGCAATGAGAAAAAGTCATGAGACATTTTTTATGTAAGCGATAGCTTTGAAAATAACTTCTATGGTTAGTTTGTAATTATGTATTGAAATTTTGTTTTAAACTACCAATTCTAAGATAATCTTTATTCATCATAAATTATTAGTTTAAAAAATAAATTTGTTTTTTAAAATAAAAAAATTAAAATTCATGTTGTGAACTCAAATTCTCTATCAAATTCTCGCGTGTGTTTTACATGGTGATGCGTTACGTGCCGAGCTGTTGGCCTTGGAGGATGGCCTAGCGTTTTGTTGGGATGGTGGGTTTCGAAAAGTGAGTTGTGATTGTGATTGCCTGGGCGCTGTTACGCTGTTTCAAGATCGGTCAACGGATAGGGATTACCTGCATAAGCACTATGATGTTATTCGTCGTATAAAGCGCATGCTAACTAGGGACTGAGAAGTTCATGTAAGTCATATTCCTCGAGAGATAAATTCAGTAGCTCATACGTTTGCTAATTGGGGTGTAAGGAACATAGGTTCCAATGTATTTTGGAGGAGTCCTCCAGACTTTATCGTGTTACCATTAGGGAGAGACTCGATGTCTTGAATTGTCTACTTTTTAGTTTTCACTCTTTACCAAAAAAAAAAAAATTCTCTATTAAAGATTGAAGTTAAAATTATGTCTACTTGAATAATTTGAAGTGCTCATAATTAAGCTTTTAATGTTCTAGTTTTTTTTTTTTGTTTATTTTGATACAATTGGTGCAATAATTATACCCTTAATTTGAAATGCAAAATTAAATCAATATGTGTTTTTTTAGGTTAAAGTTATGATTATATGATGTAATTTACACATTTATGAATATTATTATCCTGTAGTAATATGTTAGACTTTATAGCTAGTGGGTGGAAACACAAATATATATATTTTTCCTTTTGTAATTAAAAAACAACACATGTACATTATAAATTAACAACATATTTATAATATATATTTTAAATGAATTAAAAAAATAAGTTCGTGGCATCGCACGTGTTACCGATCTCGTTGAAGATAATTTTCAACATTTCTCCATTAGGATTGCAAGATTATATATAGAGAGAGAGAGTATAGCCCGCCACCCCTGTTGATTTTGTTAAGCAGATATGGTCTGCATCAATGCATGTGCAACAAATTAAACAGGGATCACACATAAAACGTATAAATTTTTTTATAGATCATTCAGTCATTTTGTAATTAGTATCCACTTATATATGCTTTCTTAATTACGCACCAGCTTTTTGTGAAAGGGAAAGTTTGGAAGAATTACATTGGTCTTCTTTTCTCTTTGAGGATCTCCCTCATCAGGAAATTAAATTAACGTGGCAAATTACGAAGAAACACCGAATTAACTGACCAATCGGCACATGTATGAATAATACTGAACTATGCTGCGCAACCTCGTGATGTGTGAGATGACCCTGGTGGGATTTGAAGAATAATTTATATATGCAAAACGAAATGTTGAAGTTTCTGTGGGCGCGCTTTACGTGCGTGATTCTCCCTTTTACTGATGGAAAGTAACATTAGTCTCCCTTGGATTCCAAATTCCAAGAGGTATATTTTAAATCCGCCAGTTTTGTACTGGTTTAACTCCATGTCATATGCACGTACCTATTTCGTTGAACATGGAGGCATGAAAATAGGCAGTTAAAAGGGAACATTTTGTATTGTACGTACGTATGGGATCTAAAGAAGACGAACTAGAGCTAAAAGTGTTCACCAACTTGTTTATTTATTTATTTTTGGGAACAAAAATAATGGTTATTTATATTGGAGGCAGCGGTGTTAATGTGTTATTAAAGAATTCTTTATTCTTATTTTTAAGTAATTAAGTTTCTGTTCATGGAAATGAGGGCCCCATGCATGCATGCATGAGATTTGTGCTAAAAAGTCTTCGAATGCCCGTGACCGACCGCATCTCGTGCAATACTCATGTACGGACAAATTATCTAGCGCTGTCAATTTACCATCCCTTCAAATATCTCCACTAAATGATCACGAGCATGCACTTTCTTCTTAGCTTTGTAAATTCTTATCCATCCACTCCTGCTTCTTAAATCACAATATGCCAATGGCAACAAAGCTTCAATAATTTCAACAGTGTTAATTAACGGCACTCATCAACACTAACAAAAGCTTGAGACCCGACTCCTGCTAAAAAGCGACGTTCGAACAGTACTTATGAGTTTAGAGAATCACTGCACTCACGTCACGTCCAAAAATGGCTGAACCACAACTTTGTCCCTTTGCTTCACACCAATGATCAAACGCCTTTTTGTTCCGTGAATTTTTGTATTTACATACATGCACCCGCTTCCATACGTCTGTATTCAAAAACTCTACACTGGCTCTGTGTGTGTTTTAATTTATTTATTAACATTTCCTTCCATCACGTAGAAGCCAGCTCACGTTGCATCATCATATATACCCTTTATAACTTTTGAGCAATTCCTATATATAAAATAAAGGATAAGGATACCTTTTTTTGGGCCATATAAAAGATAATATCAAAAGCTAAGAGAGATAAATTTCCTTAAAATATCTTATATAATTTGAGTTAACTTTGTGGTATATTTTTAAGAAGTGTGTGTAATAGAAGAGAAAAACAAAACACCCTAAATAATTCGAAGGGTGTTTATGTCAATTTACAAGCAGCTCTTGTTCTTGCGTCTATATTAAAGGCCTCAGTCGCCGCCATGCATGCACACCAAGCATTACAGCTACCTTCATCTTTCTCACAGAGTCAGGAACCATGGACGTTAAGTTGGCCACCGCCTTAATAGTTTTGTCTGCAATTTGCCTCAGCAGGGTCATGGCCATTGACCCATGCGCCTCTCAGCAAGATAACTCCGACCTCAACGTCATTCCCATCTACAGCAAATGCTCACCCTTCAACCCACCCAAGGGAGACTCGTGGGACAAGAGAATCGTGAACATGGCCTCAAAAGACGCAGCCCGAGTCAAGTACTTGTCCACATTAGCGGCCCAAAAGACGGTCTCCACGGCCCCAATCGCTTCGGGCCAGGCCTTCAACATCGGCAACTACGTGGTGCGGGTCAAACTGGGCACCCCCGGTCAACTCCTCTTCATGGTCCTGGACACCAGCACCGACGAGGCCTTCGTCCCGTGCTCCGGCTGCACGGGCTGCTCCGACACCACTTTCTCCCCCAAAGCCTCCACCAGTTACGGCCCATTGGACTGCTCTGTCCCGCAATGCGGTCAGGTCCGTGGGCTTTCCTGCCCCGCCACAGGCTCAGCCGCGTGCTCCTTCAACCAATCCTACGCGGGCTCCTCTTTCTCCGCAACACTCATCCAAGACTCTCTCAGGTTAGCCACTGATGTTATCCCCAATTATTCATTCGGCTGCGTCAACGCCATCACCGGGGCCTCGGTTCCGGCCCAAGGGCTTCTGGGCTTGGGCCGCGGCCCATTGTCGTTGCTTTCACAATCCGGGACACTCTACTCGGGGCTATTCTCTTACTGCCTCCCCAGCTTCAAATCGTACTACTTCTCCGGGTCGCTCAAGCTTGGGCCCGTGGGCCAGCCCAAGAGCATCCGCACCACCCCGCTTCTCCGCAACCCGCACCGGCCTTCTCTTTACTACGTGAACCTCACCGGAATAAGCGTGGGACGCGTCCTCGTGCCAGTGGCCTACGAGTATCTTACGTTCAACCCGAACACCGGATCCGGAACCATAATCGATTCGGGCACGGTGATAACCCGGTTCGTGGCACCCATTTACAATGCGGTGAGGGAGGAGTTTAGAAAACAAGTGGGGGGAACATTCTCGAGCATTGGAGCTTTCGACACGTGTTTTGTGAAGAACTACGAAACACTGGCGCCGGGAATTACGCTTCACTTCGAGGGCTTGGACTTGAAGCTGCCATTGGAGAACAGCTTGATCCATAGCAGCGCAGGGTCGCTGGCTTGCCTTGCAATGGCGGCGGCGCCGGATAATGTGAACTCGGTGTTGAACGTGATTGCCAACTTTCAGCAACAGAACCTTAGGATTTTGTTTGATACCGTGAATAATAAGGTTGGCATAGCCCGTGAGGTTTGTAACTAGCTAGTTGGTTGGCTACATTTTTTTTTTTTTTGGTTTTTTCCGTTTGTTGTAGTGGTGGTTTTCTTGACTAGCTAGCTAGTTTTGGATCTTTCGTCGTGTTCAAAAAGTGGGTGTGGGTAAGAGTGAGAGTTTGTGTGGCCACGGTGAATAAGCATAAGCTTGTCTTGTGTGCCTTTGGAATTAAGATATTAAGTCAATGTGAAATACTACTTAGATTGGTCGTTATCGCAAAGAGGGACGACCAATCGATTGTAATGATGTTTGATTAAATTAATAATATGAGATCAATTAGGAAGGATCAAAGATGTGTAATGAACGATGAAACATGTTTTGGTACTATCTATCGGGATAATTAGTTAATTACTGCCAACTCGTGATAATAAGCGGTGGCCCGTCTCTTTTGGAATCTTTTCATTTAATTTATGCACGGAAATCAAGGGTATTCATGAAAGGGATCCACCTTGTTTTTATCTGTATTTTGGACACTCGTAATTGCCACGATGATGACGACGATGATAAATAAGCAAAGTGGTGTGAGTTGAGTTGAGATTTTTTTTCGGTGTAAAAGTACAAGATTAATCATATATTAGCAATTTTGTATTTATATAATTTTTTATACACCGAAAAAGAGAGAAAAAAAGGTACTAACTATTATTGGCTAAGGACTTGCCATTAAAAGTATTATAATTAAAAAGATTAACTTTTGGTTAAACATCATTAAAAGTATTATAGCTCAATTTGAAATTGATTTTGTAACCCCATTCATGATTGAGCATATATATCAGCATGAGCCACTAACAGAACATTACTGGTACATATATACCCATTCATTTGGGTTGTGATAAAAGAAATCATTAGGGTTTCAATACAAATAAAATAGTTAACATTTAAAAATAAATAACTAATCAAAGTAATAATAAAAAACTCCTTCGTAAATGATTATTCAAAAAAACACATATATTATTTAGCATTTTTAAATAAAAATAGAAAGAGTGCTACAAGTGTGAATTCATTACAACAAAATACATTTTTAATGGTATTTAATATTTATTTTTAGTAACAATAAAAATGACTGTAAAATTTTTTATCAACATTTTCACATTAGTCATTATATACAGTGTCGGTAAAACATATACCGATAATTATTTTGCATGTTGGTAAAAATTTTTATAATAATCGAGAAAAATATATAAATTTTTATAGTATTTTTTTTCTATTGTCACTAAAAGTTTAAAAAATGATTCATAACTTATATATTCTTTAATTACCTTATTTTTAATCGATGTCGGAGTTGTAAGATAAATGTTCTTTTCTATTTATATAGTGGATGATTTGATATCAACTTAGATAAATAAATTATAAGTCTAATTTAACCTTACAAAATCAACTTGTAAGATAAAAGTTATCATCTACTTATATACTATTTAATTATCTTATCATCTTATTTCTAGTTGATGTGATGAGACTTAAGTTTTTTTTCAATAAATAATTATCGTCAATAATAAATTTTGGTGTAATATAAGTATATTTTTAATAACTATTATATATTAGTCATTAATATTTTTATTAAATAATAAAATAGAAATAATTAATTTATTATAATTAAATAATTAATATTATTGTTAATAATAAATATTGTTGTAATAATTGCTTAATTAATTCAATTCATGCTTTGAAGTAATTACAATGTGCTTATAAGTCAAGTTTTTTAATCATAAACTAATCATAAACAAAATTAATAAATATTAAAAATGATTTCAAATAATTATAGAATTAGCACAAAATTATGCTTTTTTTTATGGCGACAATAACTATCAGAGAAATTATACGGTACTCTTGTATATTTAAAGAGTTTTTGAACTATTTTTTTTATAAATATTTGATCATTTGATTTTATAATTATTTTATTTTTAATATGTTTATAATTTTAATTTCAATATATATTTTCTTAAAATTCTTAATATATATAAGAAATATTTGAATTTAGTGAATATATCTTTGATATATTGTGAGTCATGATAAATTAACTTTTTTTTATATTTGTGTACAAATTATAAGAAGTAAATTGAATAAAAAATTTACAAAATCTCTCCCAACTTCAACAAATAAAATCTTATTGTATTATTCTCAAAATTATTTTGATTTTTATAAAATAATTTAAAACACACTAATATTTAGCAAAAATAAATAATAAATTAATTAAATAGATCATGTGTTTGTTAAGAACATATCATTTAATATAAAATAAAATTTACATTTTATATCATTTTTATTAATTTAAAAAATTGACTGTATCAAATCATTCTAATTTACACGGATGGAAAAGATTATTAACGACAAGAACAATTATCCAACTTAATTCATCATAAATTATATATATAAACTCCCTTAACCACTATATTGACCGACCCTGTATATGTTTACATTATATGATCTTTTTATAAAAACAAACAAGGAGGGGAAAAAGGAGAGGAAGAAGAAGACTAAAATGGAATGATTAATATAATATAAAAAAATGTTGTATGTTGTATTGGCAATATATAACTCTTGAAATACAACTATACACAATATGATCTTAACACTTAACAGTGACAAAAAGTAAAACATGAAAGAAGGAAAGCACCAACTAAACCTTTTATTATACTTATACATATATGATTTACTCATATATATATATATGACCCCTCCAATTAACCCTGGTTCAGCACACATTCTCCCTCCATAGTCCATCCGAGGGTCGATCGTTTACGCATGCTGTTCCACGTCCCCTTCCACAACTCAAACCAGATAAAACGAAGTGTTAAATAAAAATGAAAAACGATGATGATGAAACTCCTCAGCGACTTCACTCTCTCTCTGTCTCCATCTACACACACTCACACATTCATTAACCCCACCATTGGTGCACTGCGACACCCTCATCCCTCAACTTGCCATACAACGCAAGGCACTCCCAATAAGCCCTTCGACTGGTGTCGCCGTTTCGTTTGGGCTTGCACTCCAAGAAAAGCTCGTCCACAAGCCCAATGGAATCAGTCTTCACCATCTCCTCCACCACCTCAGCCTCAGCTTTCATAACCACAAACTCCTCCTCCTTCACGTTCTTCCTCACCCAATCCGACATCCCTATCTCCATCTCCACCGCCACCGTCTCTATGTTATATATCTCAAACGTGTTCCCCCTCGTCGGGTAATTCTTCGCGAACCAATCCGTTCCCTTTTTCTCCGGAAGCCCCACATCGATGAAAACACGCCGAGGGTAACTCTCAAGAGAATCACCCATCAAATCCGGCAAGTACTTGGTGCGCTTCATGTACCTTGATGACTTCCCCGAAGCCGCTCTTGGAGGCTCCAGAAGCACGTCCTCCAGCTTCTGCAACGCCGCTTTCTTCGCCTCGCGCGTGTAACCGCAAAGCTTTCTCGGCGCGACTGCGTTATCGAGGGAAAGCGGTTTGGGTTGGCGGAGGAAGAGGGAGAAAAGATGGTGGGTGTTGATGGAATGAGGCATGGTGGAAGAGAGTTGGTGAAGCAAGGAAGATCTGGCTACGACTAAAAATGAAGCAACGAACACGAACGTGAAGGCCAAGAGCGGCAAGGCGTAACGTGTTTTCATGGTTGGTGAGAGAGTGAATGAATGTGTAGAAGAAGAAGAAAAAGGTTTGCAGAGAGGGGGGAGGGAAAGTAATAATTATTATTAATTATTAGCGAGTGCAAAATCTTGCGGCGGTGTGGTTTCCACCCACAAGGGCAACGCGGTTAATTTGCAACGTTGACCAAAGTGTCAAAAGCTCCCTCATCCGCTGCACCTCCATTTCTTGAATTTAGGACCCAGGTCGATGGTTGTTGTTAAATATTCGGAGCTGGCTATGTTAGCGGCAACATAGTGCTCGAACGCCAACTTTCATCGATCACGAATGCATGGAGGTGTTTTCAGGGCTTTTTGGCAATGATGTTTGATTTGATTTATTGCAGGGATGAAGGGTGCTGCTATACGAATGGAGAGGTATTATTATATGCATGCATGAGAGGTCTATATTTGGTACCAACGGAAATTGAGTTACACCATTCACTATTTCCTATAATCCTAATTCCTATGCTTGCTTGCACATATAATTAACCAACCTATATTCTCTTTCCAAAATTCATGCATGGTATGCCCTGGAATTGCTCCTGCCACGTAGGCTTATCTTCCTCCTTCCCCCAATGGAGTACATTATTATACACCTTCTTCCTCTGTCTCCCAGCCTCCTCCTCTTCATCCATCACCATCCCTGTACCAGATTTAACTCAATACTTTCGATGTTATTTATATATTATTTGAATATTTGTCAACATTTGTTAATTGATCGAGATGTTTTTTTTACACTATCTGAGGGTTAAATATATATCTATTCTATGTAAGTAAACCAAAATATGTTTTTATCCTTTTAATTTATGATGAGAATGTAAAACGTTTATTTTTATCTCATGTATTCGAAAGTAGTATTTTAATTTGTGTAATATATAAGTTAAATATTTATTATATATATATATATAAACATAATAAATTTTATATAAATAAATATTATATTTAAATATATAAATCATATTTAAAATTATATAAATAGATATTGAAAATCAATAAATTATATTCTAAATTTATGATAAATAATTTATATTATAATATAATATTAATTTTATTTATTCTTAATTTATTTTAAAATATCAAATTTAATTCATAAATAATTATAATAAATAAAAATTGAAATATATAAGAAATTAAAAAAAATCTCTAAAAATTCTCTCATCAAAGAAAAATACTTAAAAATATTCTTGTGTGCAAGTTAAAAATTTACGTTTAATATATAGAGATTGGTGAGAGATAAAAATAAATAGTATATTTTTTAAAATTAAAAAATATTAACTCTTACTTTTTATTTTCAAAATATATTATTTTCTAGCATTATTTCTGTTGATCCGGTCAAAAAGATGTTGACAACGGCAAGAAAAATTGTACCGTATATTTGAACAGTCAATTACAAATTACTAATCTTTTTTACCCTCTCATGCATGTAAGATATATTTTCATTAAGAGGGGAAAAAATAAAAAATATACTTTTAGGGATCAAGATCTTATTTGGTCTTTTTTTTTCTTCAAAATATATTATTTTCAGTATCTATTGTTATTTATGTTGATCCAGTAAAAAAAAAATTGTTCTTCATGTTGATGACGACTTAAAAATGTACCGTATATTTGAACAGTCAATTACAAGTTCCCCAATTTATTTTGGGTCGTTTGATGAGAAAGGGAAAATTTCCTTCCTATGCGATATTCCCCCTAGATTTTCTAATTGTAATGATTTATAGTGTTACAAAAGTTAAGAATTAATATGGTGATTGACTTAAGGAAATGACAATTGTGGGAAGAGGAGTGAAAATAGTATTAAAAAAAAGATTTATTTTTTCTACAAAATCTAGTAAATAGTGCTCCGTGGGGAACCCCGCCGACGTGGCCATGGTGCGCATGCAGGCCGACGGGCGCGCCCCGCCGGCGGAGCGGCGCAACTACAAGGGCGTGTTGGACGCGATACGGCGAATGATTAACGAGGAAGGGGTTGGTAGCCTGTGGCGCGGT